CATGGCGACAATGCACCATGTCACAAAGTGTACTCAACAATTAAGGCGCTGCGTGAAGTTGGAATGACGCCTATTAGATGGCCACTTTACCCTCCGGACCTGAACCCGATCGAGTTATTGTGGAACACCTTAAAAATCGCAATCTGGTAAATAGTCCAGAGATAAATGGGGTCAGGCTTGTGCGCTCTGCTATGTTGAAAACATTGCTGCAGGCCGCATGGGACTCTATACCTTCTGAGGAGCTATCGTCACAAGTTGGCAGCATGCACGAAAGATGTGTAGCAGTGATAAAGGCAAATGGAGGGTATACAAAGTACTAAAATGGAGAAGACTAATACAAAACGTGTAGTACGCTTTCATCTTGGTTGCGAGCCATACTAAGGGCTTCAATGTAGACTTTTGTAATACAGAGCAATAATTTTTGAAACAGATGTGTATCTTAATAGAATATCATTCGTTCATTTCTCTAGTTTAACGTCCTATTTGACTTCTATGAGCAGACCATGAGGAAGGTAAGCCGCTTTGGTTAGGGGAAAAAGCTTTCGACAAACAAAACCCGATGTCCTGCCCCTCTGAACCGACCCGGCTTAATGCTGAGGACGTTCCTTTCATCCATAATTTTATAAAATTTGCCCAGAATTCGTTAACTCCCCAGTCAATCAGACTAGCGTTATAAAAAATCAAATAGAGAATTCACCTTCTCACTCGGCGTTGGTCTTCGAAGTGTTCGAAGAGTTGGCTCCGATGTATTGTAGTTATGAGCTATGCAGAAGTAAAATTGCGGAGTGATGAGGAGTGAATGATTTTATAATTCCGGGCAGGCAGTGAATAGACTCATACAATATTATGCTGTAGGTGTACGGACAGAAAGTGTACGATTAAACATCTTCCCATTTACAGTGGGTACATCTATGAAAGTGTATACATGCTCGCCTAACCAGTACACTAGTCATGTATGCTGTGGCCTTGAGTCACACGTGATGCCTTAGCTTCGACTACCTCGTTGTCTCATATCATAACATGGAGGGCATGACTGAACACCTGTACGTGGAGTCTTCTACGAACCTGGGAGTGAAATATTCTCCCAGAGCCAAGTTCAGTCAAACTTCGCAATATCGAACAAGTTGGCCCACGAAGCAATGATTCAAACTACTCTACCACGTCAATTTTTCGCTCCCAAAGAGTCCGATTCTCAACTAATCTTCATCAAGTCTACAAGTACGTACTAGTACATCCTCATCCCAATGACCACACCTCTCGTCGACTTTCTCTGGCCTCAGCCGGTCACCAAATACACGCCCACGCCGATATTTACACCCGACAGAGGAAGCAAAGCGTGGCACACAAATCTGGAAGACTGTTCTTTGGGATGGACGTGAGAGGATTCAGGACAAGTTGAAAAGATGATGCAAAAGGAGGATATAACCTCGAAGAGCGTGAAATTCAGAATTTTGGCAAGAGGTTAATGAGTTGAACTTTGTGAGCGCCAAGACTTCGCTTGCGAGAGTGCAGCTGACACTACAAAAATCGCTATGGCTGGATGGTGCGGTGGTACATTGTCTTGGCCGGTCTACCAAGTAGAGTCTGGATAGCTTGGACACATATCCCACTTGAGATAGTAGATCGCTGGTTCAAACCCGGCAAAACACAACCACATTTCTCGCGGCGCTGGTATGCATGGATGACGAAGGCATGCTTGGATAACCAAAGGTTTTGAAACGTCCCTTTGTTGGGTACTAACGGAGGAGGTTCGACTGTTTGTGTAAGCGAACATACCTCATAGTGGTATTTGCAAATGAAATCCAGAGTATGAGTGTCTCTAACGTCAAAAGAGTCATCCAATTTGTATACTTAGCACCGGTCATGTGTCATAGCTAGATAGATGAATACACGTTAAATGATTTAAAAAAAAGAGAAAAGTGCCAGATCGCTTAGGTCTGGCTAGCGGCTTTCCGCATACTGTACCTTCCCCCCGCGTGCAGTAACATCTTATCGTAAAGTCCGAGGATAAATAGCGTTTGATTATCACAGCCAGCCCGAACTTTCCCTCGGTAGATATTTCCAACTTCTTTGATACTATCGTTCCAACATGGTTGTCCTCTATTGTGCGCAAGCTTTCTTTTCGAAGATCCTGCATAAGATTCATGTAACTCCCGGATTAGCTCTTGAGCCCTTTGTTTACGTTTTCTGGGGTGATGGAGTGTGATGGAAACCGAGTGAGTGATGAATAAATCGATTTACTAAACTATATGAGGAGAAAAGAGAACTCTAGCTACTTCTAACAGGTATTTATATGAGTTGATCAACCTCGTAAATCTACAGACTAGTGACTTGCCCATAGGCACAATGCTTTATACCCAGCCATGTATTTCCAGGTGTCACTAAGTTGTAATAACGGTTCAGCCTCCCGATTGGTAGTGCTGTTTCGTTAATCTCCATCTACTCCCCATACAGTCTTATCGTAAGAATTCTCAACATTAAGCTTAGGTCTACTCGTAAGCTCAAACGACGGTCAGACCGTAACATGGAGTTGAGCGTATGGACTTCGGAAAGGAGAGGATAAAGGACTGCAATTAACTTTTCTTGGTCGGTGGTTCCTATGCGTATTTTTGTCTCGGGTCGATGTTTTTTGCCCGGGCAGGGGGTTGCAACAAGTAACTGGAAATGGTCTGAAGTTACGTCTAGATTCTGTTGGACAGATGCAGAGGCATTTCTGGCACAGAGTTTTTCCGAAGCGAAAATAAGGTCGAGTACTTTTCCACAGGTCTTTGTTAGTTTGTCTATTTCCGTAATAAAGGAGAGATTTTTGAACTGAAGCCTTTCAGTGAATACGTTAGCCTTGGGGGAGAAAGATGCCAATTTGGGTGGTGGAGATTGAGGTCTCCAGCCAGAATTGTTTGCTTAGGAAACACGAGGTTATTCAAAGAAAGTAGGAAGAAGACCCCGTCGCTTGGACTTAAAGCTCCAAGGGGGTGATTATAGATATTTACTATTAAAGGAGAAAATTTTTTAGAAGATTTGGCGAAGAGAAATAGTATATCCTCGGCTCCGTAGGCTAAAATAGAACTGGGACGGACTTGAGAAAAAAAATGGAATTATTTTTCCGCAAGTAGGATAGTATTCGAGACCGAATGGACCAGTCGTCAATAGGATTGAAGCATTCGAAAGAAGGATGTTTCGGGTAATTTGTCTGGTTAAATCTTTACGAATATACGGCTCTTGTATTAGCAAGACGTTTGTGTTAGTGCCGAAAGCAAGTTGGAGGGTGATTTCGTATGCAGATGAGCAGCGCCACAGGTTGATGGAGAGAATTTTTAAATGTATGGGCTTGGTACTCATGAATCCATTCTTGACTCGCTGATATCACTACATTTCTGAGTTTGGGTCAACAAGTGGGCAAATCTATTGCCGGCAGGTCTCGGATATTCTGTGAAAAGCCTTCGCACCTCAGTTAGGGTCTAAGGAATTGCATCCTTAGTTTGGACTGTACCCGTAGGTGCTTGGGTTGGAATTATGCTGCAGCGGACTGCTTCTTGTAGGGTGCGATAGATTTCCGGTCTTTCACAAGGAACTAGGCCGTCCAACAGGTGACTAATGCCAAGAGCTGTGCATAGTCACGGCTTTAAATTTGATCAGACTCCAGAATGCACTCAAATAAACCAACCTCACGCCAACATCACATCAACCACAATATTACATCTTAACGTCGAATTCAAAATAAAATTCATTGTGACTAGCCGATTCACATCAAAGTTACACGAGATGTTTCGATATCCAGAGCTTCTACCCCATCTTGCCCAGAATCCAATTCAAGGTATTATCAACAAATTTCATTCAGATTATTCTCGGCAGGGTCATCACCGCGGTAAATTTTACACTCAATCTACGTGAACTGAACTGGCAGATCAGCTCTTTACGTATTCTACACAAGTCTACTTTATTACGTGGTTACTATACCGGATAATGATGAAACAAGAAAATTGGAGTTTGTATTGGGAGAGATGTTTAATCGTATCCGAGCAAAAAATTATGATATGCTCGCATTTGAACACCTCACTGAATTGATTCTCAAAAATGAAGATGAACGTCATATCGTGGGAATTGCTGTCAATCTGGCAGAAACACTTTCATCTGGGCCAACCCTTCCTCAAGGCACCTTGCGATCCACGTCGCCACCAGTTCACAGTGGTGAAACTATCAATCGAAATATTGCTGAAGTAACGGGCTTTAATAAAAATGCCTCATGTCTCACATTAGCACTAGAAAATGAACTTCATGGAAATGTAATGACTGATTTCGACAATTTCTGGGAAATGTTTTTTCTCAATAAAACATGGTCAAATCAAACTTTGGGAATATGGGAGAGTTACCAAAAGTATGAAATTGATGAACTAAAGAAACAGGAAGAAGGCCGGGCATTAGAATCTCTGAATGAAGGCACATCGCCGAACCATCCAAAGAAAGTCAACCATCATAAAATTTTGAACGAAGACATGACTGAAAGTGAAGTGTGGAACTGGCTGGAATTTTTCAGAGACAACTTCCTGAACCAGATTACATTGCCACTCTCCAAGCCGTCGGAAATTATTCCAGCTCTTACCAAAGAAACAAGAGACTTGCAACTGTGTAGCAAATACTGAAGAACAAGATCTAATCGCCAGATGAAATGATCAACCAAAAATTGGCAAGTTGACTTCCTCACAGAAGGTATCAAACTACCTAGCTCTCAGATTCACGAATGGAAGGATGTTAGAGTTCTGGGAGAGTTTACTAAACAGCCTGCTAGCTCTGAAAGGAAAGACAAGTTTCTCCAACTGTCTAGACTCGCGCTCGAGGTTTTTTCCTCACAGCCCCTACGCCACTTCGTACATGGGTTCTGCTTGTTCAAAGCACACTTTGAATTGTGGGTATTTAATCGGTCAGGCGCATATAGCTCGGGCTTGATAGAATTAACAGCTCAAAAGGAGAAGTTGGTGCGAGCGATATCCTCGTACTTGCTGATGAATGAGCAAGAACTTGGTATCGACTCATCAATTCAACAGTTTAACGGAAGGTCTTTCATTACAGTTGATGACGAGAACCTGAAAGAGACTAGGGTATTCGACGTCAACCCTGATCCTATATTTAAGGTAGGGACACTAGTTACTCGCGGCACAACCTGCTATGAAACTTCAGATAAAAACTACGTCGTAAAATACTCATGGATTAGAAATCCGGGTAAGTCAGAAAAAGATTTCTTGCTAGAATCCCGCGGAACAGAAGGTGTAGTCGAGTACGTCATGGCAGATGTAGTTTACAGGATAAGTGATCACCTGAAGGGACTCAACTTTGGCAAAGCAAAGAGCTGGAACATGCGAGGCCAAGACCATTTCATCTCTCTGGGTGAAGGTGTGCAGATCTCGCCTCTCATCCCCAGTCTGAGAGATCGAGAGCTCACCAGAATAGTCATGTTGCCTCGTGGCCGCAGTCTCCGTTCCTGTCAGACAGTAATGGAGTTTCTTGTAGGCATTCGAGATGCAATCTTGGGACACCAACGCCTATTTGTCAAGAATATACTGCATGGCGATATCTCGGATAGCAACATAATTCTGGTGTCCGCCGGTGGTGTGTCTAAAGGGGTATTAATCGACCTAGACCATGCTGTCAAGGTTGGAGAAGCTACTGAAAAGAACGACAATCCCAAGTTGACAGGTACCATGAAGTTTATGGCGCTTCAAAGACTTTACCATGCAGCAAAGTTCAGGAAATCCATAGCACGTACTTACCATCATGATCTAGAATCATTTTTTTACGTTTTTCTCGTGGGATGTATAGAGTATGAATATCGCGAGGAATCGGAAGAGGTGGAAACCCTACATGACTGGTGCACTAAGAATATGATGACAAACTTTCTAACTAAGCTTTCCTGTGTAACTTTCATGCAAATTATCACACTCGATTTGTTTTCGCCGAGTTTTGTGGAATTGAAGAAATTAGCCACCAGTCTACAAACGGTATTATTTGGAGACGGAGGAATTGATTTCCAAACGCCTGATGACCACGAACGTATTTATAAAGATATGATTACGGCATTCAATAAAACCATTGATCAGATCAAAGGTAAGTTTAAAGAACTTTTCACAGTAGCTGTTCTCTTTCACAAGTATCATCCTGACAAGTTTTCCATTAATTAGAAAGAAAAATTCCGAATAAATACATAAACAGAAGATCAACAAATATTGTGTCATAAGTTACCTGAATTGAGCTGGACACAAGTATATCACCAATCAGGCGTGAATAGGGTAACAAAGTACTTGGGATGATTTTTTGTTTCAATAAAAAAGGGGTGATTACTGCTGCAGAGATTAATAATAACAAATTTAATATAATCTACTTATTTATAATTGCTTCGAACCTTAAACGTGACCGTAGAAAATCAGATACCATTATTTGTACCTTTTTATATCTCTGTTTGGGTAGCCTAAGCAGGTCACATCAGCTAATGGAGATAAGAGATAGAATTGCTCTATGATTCAAGTTTAAAATTGTAGTCCATTTATTGCGATCTTGGAATACAGCTTGCAGCGGAAGCAACATTGATACTTCTGTTTGTGGATCTTTAAAGGTGAAACTTTCACTGGTATCGCACTTTAAAAGTGGTGCACTCTGGCAATAAGGACCATCATTGACACGGAGAGTTCAAATATCTATGTCTTTACTAGCAAGGCATTTTTTTTAATTAATTAAGTATATGCAGCCTAACTAGCTATGACACTTTACTAGCAAAGCTCATTGCTGCTTACAAACTCGCTAGCCAGCTGTTCTCCACAAGTAGCGAGATCCCATTTCCTTCATTTGGATGTAATTCTTCAAAAGTATGTATCAAACTACGGATAGTTTGGAAGCGACCAACGCTAGATGTAGAGTTTATTTTTTTGCATCAGATTTTAATTGCTTATGCAGCTATCTAGCTATGACAAAATATCAAAGAAAAGTGTATAATAGATGACTCGATATAAAGGAAGAGAACTCATGCCTCGGATTTCATTTGCAAGTACCACTGCGACAGAAAGGGGTTGGATGGCGGAAGATTTTCAGTTGTCATGACCCCCTCTGATTCAATCTCAAGGAGTCGCTTATGGTACCCTTACTGAGCGAGCCGATATCAATGTTTCGCACGCAACTTGCTCGGGTAAGCAGGCAACCGAATATCTTCATGTAAACTCCTACATGCCTATGGCAAGTGATCTACGCACCCCTTTTTGGAGATGAAGTTCGACGTTGTCTGCTTGAAATATCATCCACAACCCTAGATCACAATCATCCCTCAGCGTCAGCTCTTTGTCATATCTGAGAAGCAGATACTGGAGGGCAAGACTGAACACCTGTACGTGGAGTCTTCTACGAACCTGGGAGTGAAATATTCTCCCAGAGCCAAGTTCAGTCAAACTTCGCAATATCGAACAAGTTGGCCCACGAAGCAATGATTCAAACTACTCTACCACGTCAATTTTTCGCTCCCAAAGAGTCCGATTCTCAACGAAGCTTCATCAAGTCTACAAGTACGACCTAGTACATCCTCATCCCAATGACCACACCTCTCTTCGACTTTCTCTGGCCTCGGCCGGTCACCAAATACACGCCCACGCCGATATTTATACCCGACAGAGGAAGCAAAGCGTGGCACACAAATCTGGAAGACTGTTCTTTGGGATGGACGTGAGAGGATTCAGGACAAGTTGAAAAGATGATGCAAAAGGAGGATATAACCTCGAAGAGCGTGAAATTCAGAATTTTGGCAAGAGGTTAATGAGTTGAACTTTGTGAGCGCCAAGACTTCGCTTGCGAGAGTGCAGCTGACACTACAAAAATTGCTATGGCTGGATGGTGCGGTGGTACATTGTCTTGGCCGGTCTACCAAGTAGAGTCTGGATAGCTTGGACACATATCCCACTTGGGAAGGAGACATCTCAGATTACATTTCGCGCGTAGAAAAGTTGATGGATGACGCAGGCATATCTGGATAACTTAGTGTTTTTGAGATGTTCCCCTGGGTGGGTATTCATGGATGAGGATTGACTTGGGGTGAACAAAAAGGCACCATAACTTCGCAGTGATACCTGCAAATAAAATCTAAAGCTTGAGTGCTTTTCCTCTATGTTGAATCATCTATTCTGTACTTTCCTTTGATATTGTGTCATAGCTAGATAGCTGCATACGCCATTAAAATCTTATGCAAAAAAAATAAAAAAAATCCCAATACTACACAAATAAACTATTAAACTGCACAGAGATACTTTAAAAATATTTGAACTGGATTCAATTGTCTGTCCTCTTCAGATCTCGTCTCACTGGCTTATATACATGCAAACCATTTATCATCTATCATATCATTTCTGCTCGGCCTTTCAGTCTTAATTGAGCTGAGCTAATTGAGTAAGAAATAGTTTCGGATGTCAATCTCCTGAAAATTACAACCTCAAGAATCTCTAATATGAAGCGCGCGCATAAATAAAATGAACGAACATGATTTGGAAAGCCTAATTAAAGCGCGCGCGTAAAGGAAAAGGGAATGAAATATGCTGAAAATTTGCAAATTAACTCTTAATCAATACAAGTAAATTTAGCGCGCGCAAAATACTGGTGATTCGACATAAACGCAGAGCCGATCTTAGTGGCGAGCTGCCAATACTCGCTCCCAAACCAAACCGAGTCATTAGGTGTGACAACAACTAAATTTGTCGCAGATGAAGCGAGGGCTTTTAATTCAAGCTTCGCGGAGGCTGAGCGTATCGTCAGTGGGTACATTAACCTACTGGCGGGTACAACCGCTAAATAGCTCCGACGAGCTGTCGAAAAGAATGGAGAGGCCTTAGAGGCCATAATTACAGATATCCTGCGCGGTAACCCCCGGCCCCAATTCAGTGGGCCATCAGAGGTTGCCAATAGCAGTAAGACAACAACTCTTCCGCCACCGGCTACTAAGTCAGGAGGAACTAATAACGCGAGCACTCCACGACCAGTGCAGATCCTCGCCAGAGAAGCAGCAGCCAGGCGAAAGGCAAAGAGCCAGCCTCGACAAAACCCACTAGGCCAATCGAAGGCGAACGAACACAAAACTCCAGCACCACGGAGAGATCCTGGACTCAGGTGGTGAGGAAAAAGCCAAAGCCTGTACAACCAGTGGCATCAACATCGCTACCAGTCAATGGTTTCCGGGCAAAAGTAACTGAAGCTACACGATCGCCAAGGTCAAGTACCCCCGCTTCGAAGCCCGACCACCCGTGGAGACGCATGTCTCTTCACTACATTAAAATAATCCTCGCAAGCAAACTTTGCTTGGCTAACTCTGCAATCAAGCAGGTCACTGTCGTCAACTCTGGGTTTGCGATACAAGCTGAAGGAGATGCAGCAAGAAACGCGCTCCTCTCGGGTGCCATGCTCTTGGAGAGCACAGAAATGAAACTATAAGCCGCCTCCCACTGGATCTCGGTGTTAGCTCCGAAAGTACCAGACAGGCTCTATACCTTAGAAGGACCAACACCAGTCACACCGGAGATGGTGATAGAAGAAGCGATGTAACAGTTCCGATAAATAAAGCTTAGGCGTTCATATGTCGAAAGGTAAGTTTATTTACTAACTGAAGAACAAGACTACTGCTACACTCAACGCCCTATTTATATACATGATTCCAATATTTCAAACACTAGTCTCTGTCCTCTATTCCGGCTCCCACTATTAAAGTGTGGGCTAGTTACCAACGATGTTTCGTGCACGGGCAGTACCAGACTTTCAATACCAGCGTATCTTAGCGCTGAGGTAATGAGTATGCATGAGATGAATAGCACAGACTACAGGCAATCTACCGGCTTACTAGCCGCCACAAGCGATCCTAAAAACGGGCACTAGACCAACCTCGGCTCGTGCGTTTGCGACAAGCATGGCCAGGCTATCAACCAACTGGGTGCTGCATTTTGCAACCGGTAAGCCAAAACTGGGTGAGCGACTTTTCGAAGAGAGTGGTCGCCTATACGAACTCCAGCGCAAGGCCAAAATTGCGCAATGAAACCGGTGCTGGGAACATCAACCAACAAAGATTTGCTCACGAGCGGAGAGATGCTCACTGTACTAAGCATGCGCTCGCCTAATTATACTTATCTTGATCTGGTTAGGCTCGGCTGATAATCTTCCGGCTTCGGCACACAGTTTGTATGATGATTTCGTGTACATAGAACTTTCTTTCTTTAGATAAAAAATAGCTCATGATTCAGACCCAACTATATCATTCTTAGCTTTCCTCTAACACTCACAATGTTGATCGATCGAGCATAAAGCATCTGTCTGTAAGTAGATCATCCCAAGGTTCATGAACTGCCATGAGCCACATGCAGCCATCGAACCTCACTGTATGGCTAGACCAACCCGTATTGGCGGCAAAACTGTGCAGCGAACTTAAGACCAGCTATTGGTTATACATGAGCAAGGTCAAAAGGAACGGAACGCTTCAATCCGAGAGATGGAAGCAAAGCAGAAAGCCACCGAGGCTGCTGCCGACAACGAAACCACTAATGTTACTCAATGCCCGTAAGGGACCACAACCTTACCGAGCTTCATACAACAGCAATTACGATCTCATTCCTCTGTGCTAATTTGGGCAGAGGAGACCCCGTTATGGACATCATCCTGCAATCCGCTTGGGATTCAGGAACCGATGTCCCACTCATCCAGGAACCCTGGACTCATCACAAGGTCGGCCTCTGGCTCACCAAGTTGCATCCCGGATTTGATAGGCATTTGCCTCCCCGTGTCGCTACTAACTCTTCAAGGCCACGCTCCCTCGTTTACATGCGAAAAGGGATCAAGTGCCAACAGCAAGCAATCTGCGAGACATCACCAGATCTCACTGCAGAAAAGGTAGGAGTCACATTTGTCTCCGTCTACCGCGATCCTGGAGCAGACCTTTTGCCGCTGCTATCATGGGCTCCATCTGGGCCTACAGTGATTGGTGGAGATTTCAATGCCTTTCACACCGACTGGCAGCCAATGGCCACTAGGCTTCACGGCGATGGCCAGGTGCTTACTAAATGGATGTTCGAGCACGTTATGGACCTATCTTCCACACCGGGCGTCCCGACACACAATCTCGGAAACATACTCGACCTGGTTTGGTCTAATGCTGGTGCCCCTGCAAATA